GTAACTTTTTAAATAAATTATGAAGATGCGCGGTCAGCAATACATTAATAATAAAATTGAAAATTTTTGACATAAATAAAAATTCTGAGAAAATATTTCTGTCACTTGGAGAATCAAAGTCTTGTCACAGTATACCTACAGTGAGTATATTTCGCAATAGATAAAGTGATTTCCTTATTCCCGTCCATCACGTATAACGCGATCGTTGAATTCCCACGTGTCAGTGAACCGAAAGCTCTGCAACACGAACTCGGCCACAGCCACGTGCAATAGTTCTGTTCTAGTTACAGTTCTGTTTGTCTCTCCTTTCTTTCCCCTGAGATCAATACTCACTTTCTCGTGCATAAAGCATTTTATCAAGAAATTTCATTAAATATTATCCAAGAAATTATTTCATAAAAATTTAGATTGGCTCTCTATTAATTTAACATCCACCAGTATTTGTATTCATGATTCAAAGATTTTATTTATTTTATGTCTCCAGTATTTCGATTACGTGAAGAATTGTGTCGAGAAATTATGTTTATGTAGATTACCTTTTAATTAAAATTCTCTAAAATTTGCTATAAATTGCCAAAAATTAATTCGTTTCGTACATCAAGTGAATTATCGATTTTTGTCAACGAAGTAGTTTATAGAAATTTCTTTTCTCGGTATCATCCTCGGTATCTTCGTAATGGTTTCGTAAAACCAACCTCACTAAATCGTTCTATAGGACTTTATAGCACACTCCAGAACTTGGTATTCACCTACGAGAGCTGAGTTGTATGACTCGACTGACTCACAATTGCCACGCCTTCGTCGAGTCGAGGCATAATACTCTTTGTTGCATTGCGCGGGAAACATTGCAGTTCGAGACAGCGCGTGTCGAAGTCTCAATTAGGCTAAGTTAAATTAAAAAGTGAACGACCTGCTCGAATAATTTGTCAATGAATATTTTCATATATATTTTCATATATATGCATATGTACATACATACATACGTACATACATACATTACCTAAAGTATTTATAATACATTTCACGTTATTTGATCACACCATACTTGATGCCCAATGAAATAGTAAAGAATATCTCTTGGCTTTGTATGTTCTAATTGAAAGAATGAAAAAAAGACAAGCTATTCGAAGAGAAAGTGGACTGCACTCTGTGCCAGGGAGAGCATATCGTACCTTCGTGAAAAATTCCGTCGATCAAAAGGCGTGACTTATGATTATGTTACTTGTTTTCGTGTGTAAAGATTATTTATCTATGAATATGTATAAACACTTCTGGAATTAAGAAATTTGTAAAACATATAAAGTTTTATTTAAAGCTCATGTTTCTATGTCGCAATATTATTTTGCATTAATTAATATAGAAATTCGAATAATATTGCGGCGTTTCAATTACATACTCGCGTATGTATTACTTATTGATCAATTTGAGAAAAAAGCAAAGTTTACGCAATCAAAGCTTAAATATTATTATATACTCAACAATTTACAGAAAGTAAAAAATTATCTTTTTACATTTTAAAATATGTTTATGTTGCTTAAAAAATTATGTACGTGTTGAATCGTAGAATAATTAGTAAGTAGTGTTCGCTACACTGATCGATTAATTGCAGCGAAAATCTTTACGCCGTTATGCATCTTTTCATTTAATCTAAAGTACATGTACAATTAAATTGCTCGCTCTACAAATTCGATCCTTGTAGACGACATAAGATCAATTCATTGAGCGTAAAATTATCGAACCTAACTGTCAAGATTAAACCAGTTACCAACAGTTGTTTTAGACATAGATGAAAAAGAGATCGATTACATACATATATTAACTTCAATTCAATGGTATTAGTCGACTAACGGATTAATTGTTCTATTTTCATTGTGGATGTATTTCTTTTCTGATATTCTTGAAACGCACGGCATACTTTCCCAGGCGATTGCGGTCGTCTCACAGGTGTCCCGTAAGGATCCGTTCATGGTATCCTTACGGATGATGTATGCAGGTTATGCTTTCTAACGGCAATTCTCCAAATCGCTCCGAATGGACTGCATTAGTGTGCAATTCGTCATGAACGCGATACATCCAATCAGGATTCGCGCATTTTCGGTTCTCCACGGTGATTCCCCTGATTCACGATGAAGACCGTTACGTTATTTCCATCGCTTTCTACCATCTAATGTATCTCAAATCGTTAATCGCATTAAACGAAAATAAGATAATGAGACTAATGGATTAATCATTCCATTTTCAACTGCTGAGCACGTAGTGTCTTTATACTTGATGATGTTCAGAGTAATTGTGCACGAAGAAATTAACAATAATTGT